ATGACCAGTCAAGACTGCTGGGGCAGCCACAGGAAAACTATATAGAGGGCTTTGGCTTCCCTGGGGGTCTCTAAACTATTTCTTCCATGCAAAGGCATCCTCATCACTCTCAAGTGGGGGCAGGAACAGCAGCTCTGGGCTCCTCTGCTGTCACCTCATCTTCATCAATGCCCAGGCCTAGTTTCCTCATGCTGTAGATGCAGTTAGAGTGGGTTAAGGGATCCTCAAGTGAGAAACCAAAGGATACAAGAGGAGTTTCAAACAGTTGCACCAGGTCCTTGACAGCTTTGTCATTTTGTTTGCCTTAGACTTCTGACACAGGGTCTCCACAATGGGATGTTCAGGATTGATCTGTGGATGCTTTTGGCTATTATGTAGACCACTGTAGAGTTGGCTTGAAGTGCCTAGGACTTCATGATATGATCCATGTTGGCTGGTTGTCCAGCCACAGGTGCTGTTACAATGCAGCAGGGTGAAGACATAAGTCTACTGGAGATTGTCATCTTCTCAACCTTCTTATCTACGTTCCCCTTCATGGGCTTACAGAGATTCTCAAACTTTGCTTTGCTCTCTCCAGTCTGTTATCTTCCTCACCTTCTGTAGCTCCAGGTCCTCCTCAGTCACCAAGACCAGACTCTTTCCATCAAATTTCTTGAGCTGCTGCACACAATGCTGGTCAGTAGGCTTAGTCATATATATAACCTCAAAGCTCCTCTTCTGTTCACACTCTACAAAGGCAGAGCTGGCCACCTGCTCTTTGCTCTCACTGGTGATACAGCAGATGGATTTCTGTGCCTCCTTCACTTGAGACATATACTCTGACAGGGAAGTCATCTCAACTCTAGACTGAGAAGGGTGATAGCCGAGGAGCTCAGAGAGGCACCTACTGTTTGTGGTCTTCATGGATTCAAAGCTTTAAAGTCTTGGACAATGCCTCACAAAATGTTTTGTAGTTCTCTTTGTCTTCAGCTGCTCAGGAGAGACCTCAAGGCACTTCTTCACAGTGTTTTTGCAGATGGGTTTCAGGATCTTGCTCTGCTGGAGAACTTCTTGGGAGATGTTCAGGGAAAAATCCTTGAAGTCAACCAGACTATGGATAAAGTTGAGGTGCTCAGGTATCAGCTCATCACAGCTGCCCATGATGAATGAACACATGATGGACATACAGTTTGATGTTGTTCTTCATGGTCTCTAAAAGGTAAAAGGGAGCTTGCCAAGGAATAAAGAGCAATGCTCTGAACTCCACCTGACCTTCTACAGAGAAGTGCTTGACTGCCAAATGGTCTTCCCAATCATTGGTGAGGCTCTTATAGAATTCCCCATATTCCTCTTGAGTGATGTTAACAGGATTTTTGTTAGGAATAGGCGCAGGTGGTCCGGTGCTTTCAGTGGCCTTTTGTGGCTGCTAATGGAGTCCCGAGAGAGAAGCAGAATGGGTCATGGGTGTCAGGGCGCCAGGTATTGCGTGTGCGAAGGACGATCTGTAGTCTGTGTAAGGCTAAGATTTCTTTATTCAGATAAACATCAGCCAAACGCAAGCCAGAGCAGTGCCCAGAGGAAGCAAGCTAGGAAGGCCAGAGAGAGAAGGGGTCTCCACATGTCCTCGGCCCCTTAAGAATTGCCCCCATGTCATCTTCGACCTCCCCTGACCACGCCCTCCCAGGCATGGCCAGGCACACCTGTAGGGGCTTCTAGGAGGCGGGGCTACAGTGTCTCCCTACAAACTCTTCCTGATCAATGTATTTCTCCTTAATCGTCTTCATTTTCTTTTTCTTATCTTTTCCACTGTCATCCTCCTCATCTGACCCCACATCTCCAATCTTAGGCTTCTGTTTGTCATTCAAAAGCTCTTTTTCATTTATGACATGAGCATTTCTTTATCAATCTTAAATATTAGATATTTGATATATTAAAAATGGCACACCACATGTGTTTTGGAAAATGGATAGAACTCATTTAACTCACCATGTTGGAGGTTATCTGTTCCAACCTAGAGAAGTATCAAAGGTTAGAGCTGAGTAGAACCTTGTAGTTTTACTTAGTAAACCGAGATACTGACTTATGCTAAGTTTGGTTCTAGCTAAGTTTGGAAGGAGAAGAGAAAACTTACTGTGAGGTGGTTTTTTTCCTTTCATATACATTTAAAAATGCTAGAGATTCAGCTCACTTCTATATGACTTGAGCAACTCCAATGAGTTGAGTTGCTGAAGGTGCTCATGGTCCTCAGCTGGGAAGTAGCTCTCATTTTAATATGGGACTCAAATGTGAACAGATAGTAGGAAAATGATGACTGTCTGTTTCTGGAAGTATAATTGGAATATCTTGTCAGATTTGAGACTATTAAGGAAGCATGGATAAACCATACAGGACTGAAGAGATGCCACTGTTGTTGGATCATGAAGAAGTGTGTGTGTGTGTGTGTGTGTGTGTGTGTGTGTGTGTGTGTGTGTGTGTTGCTGATGATGGTAGTAAGGGCATTCTAGCTAGAAGGGAAGAAGAAACTACAGATGTCAAAAATGGTTTTAATAGTTGGTGATAGAGTAGGGGGTCAATAATATACCATAAATGACTCCTATACACGATGGCTTTACTTTAAGAAACAATTGCTATGGTAAACTTTATTGATACGACCAGCCACGGATTAACATGCTGTATTACTTTTCTTGTTTCTGGGGTAAAATACCTTGACAGAAATAGCACAGGATGGGATTACTTTTTCTTACAGTTAGAATACATTGTACCACAGGAGGGAAGTCATGGTAACAGAAGCCCGAGGTGGCTGGTCACATTACATCCTCAGTCAGGAAGCATAGATAGATGAATGGTGGTTCTCATCTTTCTTTCTCTACTTTATTTCATCCTGAACCCCAGCCTACTGGACTAGCACCACTTACAGTTAGGGTGGGTCCTCCCATTTCAATGAACCCAACTGGAAACTCTCTCACAGACATGCCTGGAGGTTTGTCTCCTAGGTGAGTGCAGATTCTGTTGACACCATTAACCACCACACATGCCCTAATGTTGTGTTGAGAATATTAACTATTACTAGAGATTTATTTATATGGTAAAACATTCACCCATCTTTCAGAACAAACCTAAGTGTGTTATCTTTTAAGAAAAATCTCATGAAAGGTCCTGATGGAGGTGGGCTATTACTCTCTTCTTGTGGTTTCTTTACAACACTCATGTCTTCATCCTTTCCCATCTTGCACTCTACCAAGTCAAACCTAGGCCATTCCATTCCCCTGTTCCCTGCCTTATTCGTAGGACAAAGATAAGACCTGGAACAACTCTTCCAAGTTGGTTATCGGTGCTGCACTCTTACTTTGGAGACAGTTAAACCACCAAACAACTGAAGAAAACCAGTAGCAATTGAAAAGTTACAGGTTGGTCAAAAAGTGGTGTTAGAGAATATTGGTTTTCTTTTTCTAAGCCTATTTTACATTGGCAACTAAGTAAGGGTCACAAAACAATAGTTATTGGTCACCATAGTATCTTACATAGCAGATATTCATAAGATATTTGGTGAATAACCAAGTATAATTTTGGTTATATAAGGTTGAGCCATCTCTGCAGCCCACCAAGTAAAATTTAATTGACTTGGATATCGTCATGCAAAAGTGAAGTTAGATCCCTGCCTTACTCCATGTACAAAAATTCAATCAAAGATTAAGTAGAAAATGGTTGCAAATAAACATAATATTTTGGTTCTGGGCAATGTAAATATTCTAGAACTAGACACTAGTAGTAACTACAGTACAACTTCATGAATATAATGAAAAACCACAGAATCACATACCATAAAAGGGTGAATTTTATGCTTTGCAAAGTATATTTTGCTTAAAAATAGATGCAGGATGAGGAAATGGCTCAGTGGGGAGAGTGCTTGCCTTTCAAGTATGAAGATCTGAGTTCAGGTCCCTAGAACCCAACTGAACGGTTGAGCATGGTGGTGGCTGGTGTGTGCCTGCAATCCTAGGCTGGACGTTGAAAGCAGGAGGACCCAGGAATTTGCTGGCCTGCCAGTCTAGGCAACCTGTGAGCTCTAGGTTCAGCTAGCAATCTCATCTTCAAAACAAAACAAACAAAATGCCCAGAAGGGTGAATAAGCTAATGACACTATGTGCATAGGTACCAGCACCCACACATATATGCACACACAAAATTAGACACAAATGTAATAAAGACAATAACAGTAAGAACAACATCATAGCCTAGAAACTTGAGGTTCTTGTACAAATGTTCAGAGTAGACAGTCTTCACACTGAAGAGGAATAGAAGTTATGAGGAGTTAATTATTTCTGAAGCAAATCTGAAACTAAAGGATGTATTTCACTAATTGTGATATATTCCCATTTCAGAAAGCTGGAAAAAAATGTTCCTTTTATAAATTATGAACTATCTTAGTTTTTCTGATTACATATTTGTGGTATATACAATTCTGGTCTCCTAGATTCAATAAAGCTCAGGACTTAATTTTTCAAATACTGTGGCCGAGGCATAGGGTCCTGGCTGGCTCTCAGTACATATTTTCTCTTCCCTGAGGCCAGGGTTTCTGAGCCGGAGAGCTGGCTGTCAGCCAGAGGCTGTAATCTCAGCTTTCCTTGTCATCCCCTGGGTGCAGCCGTATGTGTACAGTCTGGCGACTGCTGTGACAGCAGAGGGGATGTGCCAGCATCTAGTCTGTGTCTTTGAGGGGAAGGAAATGCTCTCTTTCTTCCTTGCTCATGTTCCTTCCCTTTCTCTCCTGTTTCTGCCCTCTCTTGTCTTCCCTCCTTCATTCCTTTCCTTTTAGACTGCAGACATAACCATGGGAGCTAAGGAGCCTTTATTAAAAATCAAAAATATTTTTTTCTTAATACACTATTTTCTGATCATGGTTTCCCCTACCTTATCCCCTCCCAGATCCTCCCCACCCTTCCAACTCTATGCCTTCTTTTTCTTTATGTAGAAAAAATGGCAAATAAAAACAAACCCAATTAAAACACAATAAACAAAAATAGCATAAAGAAACACATATATATCCATACACACATAAATGAAACCAATAAAAACACAAAATCAGAGACAATGATATATGTAAGAAAAAAATTAGGTAAGAAATGTCCAAATGAAACAACATCAGACAAAACCAAACCAACTACCCTCCCCTCAAAAAAAACCAAATTCCAAAAATACAATTGAGGGTTGTGTTAGTTGTCTACTGGTGGGCCTGGGGCCTCACTTTAAGTGTGATTTGTATCCCCAGTGAGACTCCTTTGGAGAAACTAATTTTCGTTTGTGAGTGGTTATTAACCTGGGATGGCTTCTTGGTTAGAGACAGGGGTTGTGTCCATTTCCACTCTCAGCACTGGGACCCACCTGGCTTAGACCTGTGCATGCTGCCACAGTCTGAGGAGCTTTAGTTCCTCACCAAAAGCATGCTGTTCTGTGGCGTAAAGCAGCAGAAGATGCCAGCTCTGCATCACAGTGAAGATGAGATTATAGCCTCTGCCTGTGCAGACTTGCATGTGCTCACCCAGAAAGCTGTTGGGATGGCTGAGTTCCCTACTATAGGAAGTGGACAGATAGGTTATCAGATATGGCTGCTTTCTGAAACCCCATTCTCTGAGTGTGCTGCTACTACTTCCCTCAATGGACTAAACACCCTCCCCCCTTGCTTGTGAGTCACCTAATGTCACATTTATCATGGGCAGCTTTCTAATTTCTGCTGTCATGAAGAGGTGTGATTTCACGCCATATTTCTGAACCCTTTGTTAGGACAGTCTGCTCAGTGCCGTGGATATGGCTTTCTCAGAGTGTCTTAGATTCTTGATAATGCTAAATGTGCCCTGTCAGCTGAATTCCTCTGGCTTTATGTGGCACTGTGGTAAAAATACCTGATCAGATTTCACTATTGTGAAAATTCTTTCAGCAATACATGTACAGTCAAGTTTCTGCCTAGACAGGTGAACATTTGACTCACAAAATTTACAAAAGTATCTCAGGACAAAACTTTGTGGCATTACAGTGGTCTGGATGTCCACTTGTGTCTCAGTGTGACAGACTGTGAAGAGCTGTGCCTCAGGGGGGCAATGCCACTCTGTCCTTGTCAGCTATGTGCTTGGTCCTTCATATCTGAGGAGAAGGGACAGTGAGGAGTCCTGTTGGCTTAATCTTATTAATGCCACCGTCTAGAATGCAGACTCTTGGATACTTCATCTTCACAAGGTGAGCTGCAAACTGAAAAGAGGAAAGTATTAGAGAAATCATTCCAGGATTTCTTCACTATCCCTGTTTTTATCAGGCTGTGAGAGACAAAGGTATTTTTATAGCAGTAGTTGCTATAGTCACTTTTGCATAAGTCTTTTGTTTTTTAATATACACTAAATCACCTATTTATTGCCAAAAAGCTTCTTTATGCTATAGGATAAAGCATCACTCTGTTCTTGTGTGCTTTAACAAGTAACTTTAACTGAATGCTGTATAAAGGTTGTAGAGAGAGTAAGCTCTCTACAATTAGCCTCTTGCTGAGAGACTCCTTTCTGTTGTTGTTACTTTGTAACCTTCCAAGACAGCTAAAGCAGCCCAAAATCTATTTTGAACAAGTTTTAATATTATGGTAAAATTATCACAGTAGTTCTGTGTAAAATGTCTCTGAGAGGGCCACATTCCGGTTGTATCATGTTTTTGAAGCAACCAAATGAACATTTTGAGGTCAGCAACTTGAAGTACATAAGGCTGCATCCAGGAGACCTTCTAGATGCCTGGCCCACAGGACTCTGCAGACTTAGCCTCTTCAGGGTCCCTAATGCCTCTCTCCATTCACTGTACTACTGAATAAGGAAGCACTGGCCTGTTGTCCTGTTACCGTCTTAGACTGGTTCTCCTGCTACGGTCTTTTTTTAGCTCTCAAGATTCTTACTTGATCCTCAGTCTTTGGTCTTACCAAATTTATTCAAGTGATTCATTTTCAGAGCATCCTTTATCAAACTGTAACCTCCTTGAGAGAAGTGGCTTAGCTCTACTTCTTTTTATTCCTAGTGTCTGGCACATGACAAGAGGTCAACATACATTTGCTAAGTTGAACTAAATGATGACAAATAACTACCAAGCCTTAGGAAAAATAATGGAGGGAGGTTTTGATTTGGCTTCTCAACTCTTCTGTCTCTATACCTTCCTACTGGTAGGACCCCCTTCTTTCTCCTTGGCCAATCATAGCCAACACCTTTCTCATTACTTCACAAAATCCTGACCTAATCGATTAGCGTTTGCTCATGGGGCTATTGCTTTCTGCAGATATTTGAGGTTGAATCGTTAGGTTTCAGCACAGTCGTCTAAACTTAGGATCAAAAAAGCCAATTGAGCAGTTTGGTCGGGATATGTTCAAGGACTCAGTCCCAGCAACAGTGTTTTATTGACCTGGGACTCAAGAATGTACACTTTAAAAGATATCTCTCCTATGGTTCACAAGCCCACAGACACACAAAATAGACAAATATAAAAGATAAATAAAAAACTCCAAACCTCCTTAAATGATTTCAGGGACAATTTTACAAGACACTGTCTTAAGATAAAAGAATAGCTGGGCAGTAGTGGTGAATACCTTTAATCCCAGGTGTGTGTGTGTGGAGGGGGCTATGCAGAGGCAGGTGGATCTTTGGGAGGTCCAGGCCAGCCAGGGCTACACACAGAAACCCTGTCTTGAAAAACAAAAACAAAAAGACAAAAGTATGGATAGCGGTGTCAGTGTGTAGGCAGAGTATATATTGCTGGAAAATGATTGCAGCATTCTTCACAGCAATTCACATAAATGGATGCCAACAGTGCTGACCACACCCCTTTCTTCATCATTCTCTAGTCCCCTTGAGATGTTGCCATTTACATTTCAAATCCTGTGCTCATTTAAGGTACCAGCTGAAAACCTTTAGTCACAAATAATGTTGGAGAAATTGTGAGTGTTAACTGTGTCCCCGAGGTCACAGTGAGAGCATCTTCTCCCTGCCCTCTTGCTCACTTGTCTTGGATCCTAGTCCTCAAGAACAGTGGCACCAGATTTATCCACCTGAATGTACAGGCTGCACTGTCCCATACCGTATGATTACCGACACAGCCGCCTTTTCCCACATGCAGCAGTACAATTACCACAGAGGCTGGAAATCCTAGATAAACATAGCATTGCCAAAAGGGCTTGAGGGGAGGCACTCAGCTTTCAGCACTTAAAAAAAAAAAATCTCAGAAGTAAGAAAATGAGTAGGGAAGGACTACTGCACATTTAACTAATCTCTTAACCGATGTTGCAAAGCTGTAAAGAGTTCCTATCATAGCTGGATGTAACAACTAGGTTGCTGTAAAGCTGGAAAACTGGAATGGTAAAATAGGCAGAGAGAGGCGATCGGAAACACCAGGTTGCTGCTGTGTGGGTGGTCTGAAAAGGGAAGCGGAATTGGGAGCACAAGGAGATAGAAAATGTTCAGATTGCCTTGAGAGGATCCAAACTGCATTTCAGAAAAGAAGAAAAGAAACAAAAGCAACTGTTGTATTTCCACAACAGGCTGGGAGTTCTGCTCAGATTCTTCGTGGTTCCAATCATCCATGTTAAACACTGGTCCTGCTGCAGAACCACGGCTACATCTTTTCATCTTTCCCACTCCAGCCCTCCTTTTTTTCCAGTTACTCATTTCCCTGAGCGTCTAGTTGGCATGAGACACTGTTTTGAGGTATTTATGAATGGAGGAGATGGCAATCAAACAATTAACAAAAAGCAGTATGGGATTCCAAAAGCAGTTGTTAGGGCACTTAGTAGAGTTTGTGACTTTAAAAGGTGTTGGGCAAGCTGCCCCCACCCCAGCCCACTCCATTACCCTCTCATTATTGACTCCTAGAGTGAACAGGGATTCAAATTCAATGATGAAAATTGCTACACTGATCAGACAGTATTTTGGTGAGAGATTGATAGGTTAGAGAGGAAAGAAATGGCTTTGAATATAGGTGTGGCTTTCAGTGTGATAAAGTCAAGTCCCATATGGAGATTAGTGATGAGCAGTGGACTGGGAGGACCACACATGCAGGTATTTGTTGGTTCTAGCCCACCCCACCCCCTTTTTCAGGAGGCAGACCTTCAGCAGCCTCAGCAAATGCTGGCGGGAGTGGGCACAGGAGGGAAAGCCTATTGACTGTAGACTCACAGGGAAAGCACACACCTGGACATAAGAAACAGTACCCTTGGTAGAAATTCAGGGTGCTCCAATGGGCTGGGATAAAGCCAGCAGAACTGGTAGGTGCTTTTAGTCAGCAGCAGTAACGAGGTCTATTCCAGACCAGTAATGAGTTTCTGAGGCTGTGCTCCAACACTAGGTTTTTTGCTTACAGCCTAGCTGATTCCAATGTCAGCCAGTATTGGATAATGGGATCCATTGCAGCTCAGTTAGTCTGAGATCCAAAGATGCAATTTCCCATTGTAGTCCAATCAGAAAAGAATGGGGCTGTACAGCCAAGTTCTATAGCAAAAGATCCCTAGAGATCCGGACATTGCTGGGAGGTTTAGGGATGTTTAGACTGCATTTCATGTAGGCATTATGCCCACACAAAGGATGAAGGTCTTGTGTTTTCATCACAGATCTGGTCAGTACTCTCTGGTGCTGGTTTGCATGTCTCAAGTTGGATAAGCACATCTCAAACCACAGCACATGGCAGGGTTTTGAAGGTGCCATTCCATTTTGTTTTCTTTATCTGGAAATCAAGTTCTGTGTAGCAGGAAAATGAGTGAGGTGGAATTTTTGGGTAGCCACAGAGTACTTGAGGTTAAATAAGGCCAAGACACGATAAGCTGAGGGTAGCTACAGTGTTAGAGAAGCAGCGAATGGGATCATGCAGAAAGCCAAATGATATCGAACAAGCAGAACAAGAAAACAGAAAGCCCGGAATCCAGCAAGACTTAGTGGAGAACAGAGGGGTCATTCTCATTCAAGCTACCACAGGACCACTAAGTTGCCTGATTTAACCTTTGACTGTATGAGTTTGAAGTTCATACTGGAGATAGGACAACTAACAAACACATTGCTCAAACCCAGAGAAGTCTTGTCTTCTTAACTCCCTCAATAATGCTACAGTTTTGGGATGACAATGCTATTTCTGGATGGGCATGGTACTGAGTGAGGGAACTTGAAAGAATACTATAATAAGTAGCTGGAGTTATACACTTAGTTGAGGCCAGTGCTGTGTTTGCCTTATTCTCTTGGCATTCTGGAATGCTGAAAATATGGCCCACAATAAGTATTACAACATGAGGCCATGGTACATTGGTGATGCTTGTGAATTATTTAACCAGTTTGTAAGAATCTGGCAAGATACCGAGTCATACAAGTTTGAGATAAGAAAAAGATTTCTCTATGTTGACTTAGAACAACATGCTGTGATCATGAATCCTATGATCCTGATGGGACTGAGAAGTGCCTGGGTATGTCCACAAGGGTACTTCCATGGATGACTGAGAAGGGTGGCCCTGCCCTGAAAGTGGCCAGCAGTATACCACAGGCTGAGGGTCCAGAAGTAAAAGAGAAAATGGACACATAAGAAAGTGTTCAACATCCTTAGCCATCAGGGAAATGCAAATCAAAACAACTCTGAGATACCATCTTACTCCTGTCAGAATGGCCAAAATCAAAAACACCAATGACAGTTCATGTTGGAGAGGATGTGGAGAAAGGGGAACACTTCTCCACTGCTGGTGGGAGTGCCAACTTGTACAGCCACCTTGAAAATCAGTATGGTGACTCCTTAAGAAAATGGGAATCGGTCTACCACAAGATCAAGCAATTCCACTCCTAGGCATATACCCAAAAGAAGCACATCTGTTCAATGATGTTCACAGCAGCACTATTTGTAGTAGCCAGAACCTGGATGCAACCTAGATGCCCCTCAACTGAAGAATGGATAGAGAAAATGCGGCACATTTACACAATGGAGTACTACTCAGTGGAAAAAAAAAACCCAATGGAATCTTGAAATTTGCAGGAAAATGGATGGAACTAGAAGAAACCATTCTGAGCAAGGTAACCCAATCACAAAAAGACAAACATAGTATGTACTCACTCATATGTGGATTTTAGACCTAGACTAAAGGATTACCAGCCTACAATCCACACTGCTAGAGAAGCTAGTAAACAAGGAGGACCCTAAGAGAGACATACATGGTCCCCTGGAGAAGGGAAAAGGGACAAGATCTCCTGAGCAAATTGGGA